TTTAAAACCTAAATAAAGGTGGTTCAACCTGTAAGAAAAAAAAAATAAAAAAAAAAAAAAAAAAAAAGTAAATTTAATAAAATGTAACACTGAATCGGATAATGATTTCTAATTATATTAAAAATATCTTAAAGTATTTACTAAATAGTTTTTTTTAAAAAAAGAAAATTCTTGAAAAAAAGAATTTCGGCAATACATGACTTAATAAAGGTTCGAACTAGCTTGAATAAAATTTACGTAACCAAGTTCATAAAAGTTTCACGATCGAACCTGATAGGTACAAATTAAATTCAAGAAATACGGTCAAAAAGATTACCCGTATACTTTTGAGGTAAAGTTAAAGTTTAAATACCTGCATGATCTTCACAAAACTTGGCGAAGCAAATCATGGTAAAATATTTGCACACTGTCAATCATATATAATAATTAGTTAAAAGGCAAAGACTATCAACGAGAATGTGTGAAATAGTCTAGCTGTATATAATCAAATGAGAAAATTATTGTAATATGTATTATATATAGAATATCATACATACGTACGTATACAGCATATACAGAAGTGAGGACAAAAAAATTTGCAACACTTGTTTTTAATAATCGCGGTGCAAATCACGATAGCTTGTTAAACTTTATAAAGTAATATCGGCAACACCTATAGATTAAATGACGATAAGGTTATCCTCACAAAATATATTCTGTTGATAGATGTAATAAATTATATATTCTTATGATAAATAAATCAAATATATCAAATATAATATCAATATAATAGCATATATTTTAATGCTAAAGAGTTATTGATCACATGAATTTATATTTCTAACATAGGATTTTAAGTCTATGGTTTATTAATATAAAATTAATATAAATAGAGATTTATAAACATATAAACAATAATAAATCTTTTATTTTGGCTTGTTTTTATTTTAGCATCTTTCGATTTTTGTCTCCTCGATGTACTGCACACCAACATTTGTTTGTTGTTATGTTTAGCATGCTGTAGTACAACTAAAATTTAATGATATAAGATTGCAGACAACATATGGATAAAGTGTTTATTTTATAACGATTTATTTGCACCGAAAAATTTTGTTAGATGAATTTTAGCGCGCGAAAATTTTTAGTTGACCCGACTCATAAATTTAAAGATTTGCATTTACGTATCACACAGTTCATACCCATCTGATGAATAACCAATTAACGATCATTACACAACATCAATGTTAATGTTTGTTTACAGGGCTTATAGAAAATCATGATAATTAACAGCATTGCTAAAAACCTTTTTCGTTAAACATTACCATTAAGGTATCTCATTCTACCAATCCAAGTTCATTCGACTTTATTGTGACACAATAATAAATACAACTTTAACATAAATAAGCATCAGTCCCTGAATTTATCCATCACGGTGTTAAACTTTCTATTTGTTCACCGTAAAAAAATATCTTTGTCTTCCTTTTTCTTGCCTTTTTTTTTTTATACTTTATTATTTAAATCTATATTCCTTTTGACTCATTAAGAATGCAACCCACTACTACTCTCCCATCAATAAAATCTCTCTCTCTCTTTCCCTATTCAAGTCCCTATCCTTTCCCTACCGCTTTACATAACCCATTAATTCATCCTTCCAAAACAATTGATAATTGTCTTGATGTCAAAAATAAGTCGGTAAATGCAGGTAATAACTCCTTTCTTATGAATTTTATGAGTCTTTTCAATTTTAATAATATTTGATAGATTCTTATCAAAATTCCTTTTTTTTTAATAATCTTTGATATAGAACAAGTTATGACTCAATGTATTCCTCCACTTCAACAATTACCTAAAGATCAATCTTGTCATTATTCTTGTTGTCGTCCAGCAAATGAAGATTTTAGATCATCAACTAATTTATTTGATAAATCATCAATTAATAATAATAATAATTTTCAATCTTCTCAGCAATGTTACTCGGTAGTCAGACCTGCTCCAATTAGACCCTATGATGATAAATTATTTTCTATGAGACATTCAATTCCACATTCTAATCCTCCATTATTTAACAATATGACTTCACCAAAGTATCTTTTTCATGGAGGTTTTAATGTTAAACCTTCAACTAAAGAAGAAAATCGTTATCAATGTCCATATTGTACAAAACGATTTTCTCGTCCTAGTTCTCTTAAAATTCATATTAATTCACATACCGGTGAAAAACCTTTTGTTTGTACTGAACCGGGTTGTGGTCGAAGATTTTCGGTCCACAGTAATATGCGTAGACATTTAAGAGTTCATCGAATAGGTAGACCTATTAAGAAAACTTACAATGATCACGAGAATAAAGGATACAGTATTTGGAATCCTACTCCGATTGTTCATGGTGATTATTCGTAGTGTTTTATATTTATTTATTTATTTTTTTTGTTTTTTTTTTATTATTTTAAATTTTTGTATTTAAATTGCTTTATATGTATATGAATCTTATAAAAGTTTTGGTTCTTTTTTTAGACTAACGATAACTACTATTATAATTACTAATTTGTTGTGAATGAAAAATAACAAACTTTGTTTTATTTTCTATTTGTATATAAATTGTTCTTTTCTTTCTTTTTTTTTTTTTTTATATTTTATTTCTTACAGGTTGAACCACCTTTAATTAGATTTTAAATACAAGGATTATTAAGAATATGATAGGTAATAATTTTAATATGTATTCTCTTTTTTTGTTTTTTGGTTTTTTTTTTAGGATTTTGGTTATTAATAGAGATTGTATACAGCAATTTTCGTAAATATATGATTATATGTTAATTAAATATGGGGTTAATATGATTGTTTTATAATTACTAGCCTTTTCTCTTTAGACAATATCTCTTTGGACAATTGCATTAATTTTTTATTTTTAGATATATATATATATCTTTTGAACAAATTGAAAATGTAATAAAGTAAATAGGTGATAAAAAAAGGAACACCTAATTTTTACAAAGAAACATTTTTCAATAAATTCAAGAAAATTTTTTTAAAAAAAACCTTGAGTTAAGAATTTAAAAGTTTATGGAAAATTTGAGAAAAAATTTAAAAAGTTTAGGATGAAATTTAAAAAAAAAAAATTTTAAAAAGTTTAGGATGAAATTAAAAAGAATTTTTAAAAGAAATTTATGAATAATTTTTCTTCTTCCAAAGCTAGGAAGAGGGTATACATGTCAAATCATGTGATAAATAGTTGGTTTCCTTTAAAAACCTAATTTATATTAGAAAACTTTAATGAAATTAAGTTATTGCTATAATTATTACATCCATTAATAATTAATAGGTTATAAATAGGTATTATATTAAAGCCCCTTTAAATTAATTACTTTAATGCGATTTGCCCGTTCCAACATACCTTATTGCGTAAACCTTAAGATGATAATTCAAATCCTATGTGTACTTACATGCTTTCGCTCGGAAAAGAGATATCTTTTTTTTTTTTTTTACTATTTTCATGACTTACATGCTTAATCTTCATCTACTTTCATAATCTACGTTCATCTCTAATAAAATTTTACATACGGACCTGCCCGCAAAGAGATCCGCCCGAATTTCGAAAAAGGTAATGCGATTATCCTTCCCTTCTAAGGTAATCAGGCGTTATTTATTCTGCATTGCATGTTTGTGCTTTCTTTGGATCGAATCATCACATTCAGACATTTGTGTAAATGCCCTTGAGGTATTCGGTGTAATACCATAACTCTCTGCGGAAAATAAAAGCACGTTACTCAAATCTTAAAAATTTGTAAATCTAAATAAATATCTTAGATTTAAAAGTACTTAAAAAAAAAGTGTACGTATTATGGCTGAATGTGGCATATTATTTCCAATCAGAGATTGTATAATATTATGTTAAATATTTTGATAATCATGTTTTTTAAGATATTGATGAAAATCAGAGGAAAGTCACAAAAAACATAGTACTTGTGTGCGTACTTATGTAAAAGAAAAGTGTGACTTTAAAAGAAACAATGTGTTCATGTGCAACATATGTAGGACATTATTATCTTCAAATTGCATACCAAAAACAAGGCTTTCAGTAAACGCAATTATTTTTTGTACATGTTACATTCGGAGTGTATTCTCAGGTAACTAATAATTGAGTTCCGGCTTAACTATAAATAATTCATCGGAGTTTTAAATCATCCGATTTCGACATATTTTTTTCCCAATATTCGGAATATCCGAAAATTCTCGCTTTTTGTTTTTTCATTTAATATTAGTTTAACTACTAATGGATAACACGTATCACAAATTGTTTGTTCCCAACGCCATTTGCATCTCTACAAACCTCTAATAGATTATTTGGAACTCTTGATCGAATATTCTTTTTCTAAATTTGATTAAGAACAACATTAACTTAAAATTATTTCATGTTTAAAATCCTGTTAAACACCAATAAAGTTTTTTGTCATTCCTTTTTCTATTACATAAAATTTTACCCTAGTCTTGTTATATTCTTTGAAATTGAAATCAACTATTACCTATTTATTCCTTGTCCGACATTAATCAACGCGACCATTTTTTTTAAAATTTTAAAAGTTTATCAATTCAAAACTTCGCGATAGCGTTATTGAAATTATCAACGACCATTTTTTCGAACTCATTGTTGTGACACCATTGTTGTCTATCGCAATCACGTGAAATAGCTATGTTACGTCGAGTGATCTACGTCATTCGCGTAATATCGCGTAATATAAAACCCTCTCCTCTTATAAGGACCTTAATAAGCGTATAAATAAATTTCTAACGCTGTTAAAATACAGCTCTCATCCTTAATATTGAAATGGTTCAATCGAGAAATGGAAAGATAATTACAATTAGAACTCTCGATTATGTGCTGTCGAATTCATAGTCACAGATTTTAAAGATTCGAGTCTTTACTAGTCATGTATGGTTTTCGTAAACTGAAACTATATTTTTCTTTTATCAAGATGAATTATATGCATTTAATTTTATATAAATAAATTTCTAAAATTTTGTAAATTTCATTTATTTCTGAAATTTCCACTTAACTTACCAGGTTCGCGAAATTACCAAATTTACTAAAATACAAAATAATTTATCAACTTTACTGAAATAATGATATGGGGCAAGGCAAATTCGACCTTTATAACGAACTATAACAACACTACAATACAACCATATATAATAATGCCAGAAGAAAACCAAGGCTTCGGACTTTAGTTTATTGATTATCGGGCTTAGCATCTGAAAAATTTGATTAATGACATGATACTTAATCATGAAATTAAACTTCAAAATCAGAGGTCAGACTTATACATGTTACAGAAGTTATATTTTGCTAAAAGTATTTTCGGCATTGATTTATGATATGAAATTTCAGAGATACCTCGGCAATTTCGGCAAACCAAAATTGTTTCTATGACATGGACCTTTTTTTTTTTTGCAGCATTATATTCGTTTACTTCGAAATAATCTTAAATAGTACCGAAATAATGAACATTTTATGTTTTATTACCAAAGTCATGGACAATAAATACCATTTATTGGCTACTTCGCATCCAATAACTATATATTATTTCATCAGAATCAGAAAATAAGCTCAAGTTTTACTTTGCATAACGTTTAGGTGCCACGCGTTTATTGTTTATATTCTATATGGGATGGAGGGCATTTGTATTAAAGAAATTCTCATACCCTTTCTCAGGTCGAATGTGCCTAAAAAATTTCTTAATTTGCTAATTATCTTTAATCGATATGAAGTAAAAGAAACTAGAATTATCCTGCAATTGTATTCTTGACAGTAGAGGTTTCTTTGACTGTTATTACTTTATTAGTAGTTGTTCCTCCGACAGTCATGGCTTAGCACTAGTGATTTCTTCATTATAACTGTGTAATTATGGCTACTTTGGCTTTGGTAGTAGTGGTTCTTCCAGTGGTTATTATTTTTGGTGGTTGTGGTTCTTCTGGAGATCGTAACTTTGGCCCAAAGCCTGTCAAAGTCATTGGAATTTTATAGTTTTCCGGATTCTGTAGTTTTTGCAGTAGTATTCCTTCAACAGATATTATTTAGTAGTACCGTAAATCGCCGTATACAAGGCCCCCATGATAATAGACCCCACCACATAGTATACCTGGATGCGAATCACGGGATCTATATTACTGTAATCAAACCTGAGTTTTTTTTAAATATCTGGACTGCTTATTATAAATGCAAAACTTGCATACTCATTAAAATTCTTCTCTTAATGACATAAACTCTTGGCTGTATACTAGACCCGGGTATATTATAAGGTTTAAAACTGGTGGAATGTAAGAGACCCAGCGATTTACGGTAGTGGTTTCTCTGGCAATCACGGCTTTGGCAAAGGTTGCACCTTCGGCAACAATTACTTGGTGTTTTCTCCGGCAGTTGTAGCTTTACCAATAATGGTTCCTTGCCCTATAAAAAAAAGTTTGTACAGTTATTGAAGGTATTGTCCAAAAAAATGTTCGGAACGGAGTCAATTTTCCGAACAGGGTTTATATCTGTATTGTTTTCATAATGACGTTTGTACGGGATGTAAAAAATAGAAAATTTTTTGATTGAAAATTATCATATAAAAAACGTATAAAAACTGCATTCTTCCAATAAACATCCTTTAATTATTCGAAAAAGAGTCGATTTTCCGAACAATTCCAAGAGATTTTTTTTTTATAGGGTTGATAAACGTTACTCTGTAACTTTGACAGTAATGGTTCCTCTGTAGTGTTAGTAAATAGTGCCTCTTCGGACAGTTATGGTCCTTTGACTAGCTTTTGTTAAGCTTATATATGTCTTTTAACAAGTTTAACATGCTGTATAACCTAATATTTTAATATATGCTGTTATCAGCAAATTTCGGATCTAATTAGTAAATTTCTGTTTCAATTTCCATGTGAGAGAGGATTTATCATAAAATTTTAACTGTTAATTCACCTCCTCGGAAATATATCATTTTCTAGGAAAAGTTTTTTCCAGTTAAATTCTACTACAAATTACCAATACTTCAATATTAAAATTGTTTTAGTTTGCATAATTACATCGTTGAATAGCATGTTCGATTTGGCTGAATCTATTTTTTATATTTAAATGCTTGGCAGCAGTTCATGAAATCATTACTAAATGTATGAGAAAATGCCTAGTCCGCTCAATAAAATAATGTTGATTTTCTAAGTTATATAAATAAAATAAAATACAAGTATATATATATATATTTATCTATACAGTATATATATTATTTATATAATAAGACATATAATATATTTATATAATAAGACATATAATATATTTATTTTTAGTTTACGAGCAATTTTTTTTTTTTTTAAAAAAAACTTCTCGTTACACGAATATTGTGAGAATCAGGAGAATCAAGAGTTGT